CATAGACTAAAAGGGACCAATAATTCACTTTATTTTAATTCGTTTTCGTAATATATATAATTTAATTTATTACTATTTATCATTATTATTTATTTTTATTTATTATTACTGTTATTATTACTACTAGATTATTATATCTTATTATCGTTATACTATTACTGTTATTTTATTATTATTATTATAACTATTCCTGTTGACTAATATCACCATTAATCATTATTATTCCAAAAAAAAAAAAATGCTATACATCTTATGCATAAAAAATTTAGATGACATTAACGATCAGATAAATACTATGAAGGACATGACGAATGGGGAAATTAGATGGGTAAAGATAAGAGAATTTTGGGGTTTAACAATTTGTCATAAAGGATGGATCATCGAGTTTAACAGACATCGACAGATAAAATAAAAGTGATAGAAATGAGAAGGGAGGAAGGAGAAGAAAAAGATGAAAGATTACAATGAAATGATTTTAAAGAATTGAATACGATCGATTGATGATGATATGAACTGATAAGTTGGTATAATTTATATACTTCATCAATTAATCTATCATAGTTACAAATATTAACAAGATTATATTCAATTATTTACGTTACAATGACCTTTCTTTAATTTATCGTATTCAGTTATTTCTTCTATAATAATTTTATTCATAAAATATCATAAAAATTTTCATTTACATTAATTTTTTTTTTTTTGTTTTTTAAGACATTATGATTATTTATTATCGAAAAATGTTTATTCATAATTGTGTATCATGATTTTCATAGTGATTGAATATATTCTTGTGTTACAAGTTTTAATTTAAATATTGATTTGAATGATGATTATTGTTTAAGAAATGCAAACGACTGATAAGTGTAAAAAATGAAAAGAGAAAAAAAATTGAAATGAAAAATTTTTTCCAACATTTACCACAAAATGATGATAATCTATCAAAAATGTTATTTCTGCTGTGGTAAGAAATAAATGAAAAACGGAAGGAACAATAAAATATAAACGTCGAAAAGAAAAAAAAAAAAACTTCAATTAATAAATAAATAAAATAATTGATGAAATTAAACGAATCTGAACAATAATTAGCTACTATTAACAATAATTAGCTATTATAAAAAAAAAAAAAAAAAAAAAAATGAATGGATTATAACGAGAAAAATAATCGATATTAAGTACTAGATTTATTTATTTATTTATTATAAATATATATATATATGAAATTTAATTTGATACATTTTCTCGGGAACTTTTAAATCATTCTTGTCTAAAAATTGTTAGCTGTTTAGAAATTAAAAATTTGAATCGATAATAATAACAAAGTATTGTAGTTACTAATAAACTGAATTAACTTCATTAATTCTCTATGAATTTCAATTCACTTATGTTTCAAATTTTTGAAAAAAGGAAAAACACGGAATTTCAATATTTCATATTTTCAACAACAGTGATATCTTTTCAAACTTTTCATAATTTCTCACACAATTGATGATTTATTGATCATATTTACAATTAATTTAAATGATTAACTACCAGTTTTGAAAATATTAATTAATTATCACATATTAACTTTGTTTAATCATTTCATCATGTGGTTTAGCTTTTTTTAAAGGGGCTAAAACAATTTTAAATTTTGAATTTCCTGAAAAAAATTTGACGTATTAGTTTTTTTTTCTTAAAGAAATTAAATATAAATTTAAAAAAAAAAATCATAAATATAAATGATAGTGATTGGTGAATGTAAAAAAATCCATATATTATCACTTTAAAAAAGAAAATATAAGAAAAATAAATACGAATAACGCCATATTTAATCAACTTTTTTTTTAACTTATAAGTGTACTGAGTAAAAATTATCAATAAAATAGAAAAGTGGGTTATACTTATGAGAAAACAAACTTTTAATCTTAAATTAGAGTTGGAAATAAATATTAGAAATGTACTGCAATATTAGCGACCTATAAAAGGAACAATGATAAAAATACAGTCTAAAATATTTCAAATTTTGCAATTAAATATGATTCTGAAAAAAAAAATAAATAAAAACTTTAATTCGACTATCATTCTAGCAAACAAAAACGACTCTATCTATTATGATAATAACATTTTGTACATTCAGTGAAAATTTGTCAATAATTTCTAACATTTTAAAAGTTATAACGATAAACCAATCAAAAATGCATGCACTTCGATTTATAATCAATCCCATAGATGTATGATCATCAATCAAACATAATTTTTCGATTTTTCAGTTGAAAGAACTGAAAAACGGATGCGCCATCATTATCGTCGTACATGACGATCTATCACGTCTTTTAAAAAGATTCCGCAATTTTTTCTCTTTTTCTTGAGATACGACATTTTTTTTTTCTAAACTGTAATACAATTGATGAATGATGAAATCTAAAAGTTGGAAGTCAAATTTAGCTGGAAAATTTATCAAATCTTGAATGAAATATTAAACGAATAATTATTAAGAATTTCATATCCGAATTTTCTGATTATTTCTTGATTATCATACATTTCTGCTTATATTATAAAACAATATCAATTGATTGTTTATTGCCTGATTCAAAAAAGTATCATAATCAAACAATATGTTAATTCATTAACATTTGTAATTGTAGTTAAAAGTAAAAGTATTGATGAGCTAAAAGATTATGGAAAATTTTGGATGGGAAAATATGTATATAAAGTAATTTAAAGAAAAATATTTGAATTAATCTCAAATCTAAAAAAAAAAATTTAAAACAACCAATTTCGGTTTTCCAACAACCACTTGCTTCCGGGTTCCAATTTTAAAAGGTGGTCGAAAATCTTCGAGTATTTTATGAGAATCAATTTGATTAAATGAATCCCCTCCCCTCCTTATCCTCCTCCCAAAAAAAACTTATTATGCATTCTAGAGCAATGAAATTTCCTTATGTTTGTAACTAATCAAATTATATTAATTTTAAAATAATCGAAAGCTCAACTGAAAACTCAACTTGTTAATTACTGTCAAAACAACTGAAGATAATGTTAAATCTAAGTCAGAATTTGCAGATGTAATCTGGTTCATTACATATGAAGTAAATACAGTTGATTTTGTAGTAAGAAAAATTCATTAGCTGATTTATTATACAATTAAATTACTTGCTAAGCAGTATAAATTATCAAATAATTCAAGTAGTTGAAGAACTGATAAGTTGAAACATCATGACATTACAAATTTCGTTGAGTAAGGCAATGCACAAATTTTTTAACATATGATAATATCATCAGCACTGTCGAAAGCCATTATCACCACCATCATCAAATTGTGTTAACATTTTCGAAATAGCTCAAAGAATATACTTTTATTAATCATAACATGCATACAATTCTATTCTTATCAAACGATATACTGAACTAAATATGCAAAAATCATGTATGCAAGAAATAAACTATTACAATCAGCTACTATTTCAAAAATTTTCATTTAAAACAATCAAATATTACATTGCACATTTAATTAAATACTATATTTCATACTTATTTGAATTAGTGAGAAAAAAGGACTTATATTTTGGCCTAAATAATCACGTAAATAACGTGAAACACAATGACAATGCATGAAGAAGAAAGGTAATTGTCAAATTGTTAAATTTGACAAATTTCAATAGGCGTATGTTTCGATGCACGAAGTTTGCAGAATATAAACTTCGTCTGTAAACAGTGCACGAATTTTCTTGAGATGTGGAAAGATGTAGATTTTTGCTACTACTGGAGTGATACGGGGAAGATTTTTTTCCGGATAGTGCACTGGGAACGTAGCATTGCTGGATCCGGAATTCTGTTCAGGATTCTAAAGTTTATTCTGATATTGATCTCGATTATGATGAATCTTTTTCACAATTTAAAAGATTTACTAAAATTCAGCATGAAAATAAATCATTTGATTTTCTTTTTTTCCCTTCTTTTTCCATGTAAACCATTTTAAATTATGCTATTTTTTGCATTGTGAATATGTTTAAGTTCAAAAAAAAGAAAGAAAAAAACAGGAAGAGAAAAGAAAATGAAGGGATCATGGCTTATTATTAATTCATTACATCAGTGTTATGGAAATTTCCATAATATCGATATGTTATCATTGATATACTTATTCAAAAGAAAACAAAAAAGTAAACAATGATTTTCCTTTGTTACACATCTTCAAAAAAAAAAAAATATATGAAATTTTTATATGTTGAGAAAAAAATTTATTTGAGAGGAAATTAATAATTAATTTGTTTTTGACATGATCAATAGATTTTATATGAGAATAGAAGAAATGTTGTTGTCAATTTATAAGATTAAAAGAATAACAGAAATGCACAGTAAATATAAATGTATTTTGACAAATGTGTGTTTTATTTAGGCTTGAAATGGAAAAGTAATATCTCCAAATATTGATCTGTTCCTGGATATGAAATAGGGAATGATTATAGATTACTTATTAAAAGATAATGATATTGTAATGATTTAATTGGGAAAATTAAAAATTTAATGAAGTCTTATGAAAAAAGCGAATGTTTGAGTTTTGTTTGAATAGTTATTGGGAAAGCATGTTAGTGGTATTTGGAATTGGTAATGATAAGAATTGTTATCAGTTCTAAAGCAGTCATTTAAGGATTCGAAATTTTTGTGAAGGAATAAAAAAAAAATCTTCGTTCTCTTGCTTCTTTTATTATAAAAAAGGACGTTCGGGGTTTTATACGAGTGGCTTATTGGTTTTATACGAGTGGCTTATTTACATTTCTGTGGCTTTTGGGTTCGGATTCACTGATTGTATGGTTCATTTGTTTTTTATTGTTTTTGTAAAATATTCGGAGAGCTATTTAACGGTTGAATTCGTTTTTTCTTATATGTTTGTTGCATATTGCATACTGTTTAATTGTGTTTGTTAGTATTTCAGTTTCATGTCTGTTTTGATCAGTTTTACAAGTTCATATTAATTTTTTTGCAGGAATTAAAAGAGATCTCGTTTCTTCCCTTTTACAATGAGCCGAAAGTGCCCAAATTGTGGCAGTTCGGAAATAGATGATGATTCGGCTCGTGGTGATTCTACATGTATGGGTTGTGGTACGGTACTGGAAGAATCAACCATTGTTTCGGATGTGGCATTTCAAGAAAATGCCGGTGGTGGTCATTCCTTAGTGGGTGAGTTGTTCGTCTTTGCAGGATGTTTGCAATGTTTTAGGTTCATCTGCGATAGTATTGAGATGATACTGCAAGTATGAAAGGCTAGGTGTGGTAGAAATTTATGTGCTACTTTAATATGCCTTGCTTTCCAATGTGAATGTGGTGTATATTTGAAGTTGTTGTAATATCTTCATGTAATGTTCAGGACAATTTATTTCGAAAGAACGCGGTCAACCAACTAATCTTTCCGGTGTACCTGGTTTATCGCACCAGGAATCCCGAGAAATCACCTACTATAAGGGAAGGAAGCTGATCGAAGAGGTAATAAAATGATGTTGAATTTTTTCTGGGTTGCATATCTGTTATTTAAATTAAATTTAGCATTTTATTTGGAGTACTGATATCTCAGAATGTTTCGTTTATTGCATTGGAATATTCTTTTTAGGTTTTTTAAGTTACTGAAATATGTAAATTGATTTAGTTTTTAGGATTTTCTATTTGTGTTGTACTTGTTTAGGCTGCTGTTTGGAAAAATATGGGAAAAAGAGATTGAGTTTTGTTTATTCAATTTATAATAATATCTGCTTTATATTTGATCTGTATTTATAGATAGCAAGTCAGCTTCGGATTAATCAGCATTGTGTTAATACAGCATTCAATTTTTTTAAAATGTGCGTTTCGCGTAATTTTACACGTGGACGTGTACGATCACATGTCGTAGCAGCGTGTTTATATATGACTTGTCGACTGGAAAATACCGCACACTTGCTGTTGGATTTCAGCGATATCACTCAGGTATCCTCTGCTGAATTTGTGTTACTTAACCATTGCTCTAAAGTTCTTAACCATTGCTCTAAAAAATTTTACCCACAGGTAGAGGCTTTCTTTTTTTTACTTTCCTAAATGGTTCATTTCGATACTTCTCGGGTTCTAAATGTAAACGATATGCTAAAAATAATTTTTAAAGTTTCTTCCAGATCTAGTCGCCACATTAATTGTTATTCAGCTAATTCCCTGTCTTTTTTTCATACTTTCATAATTTAAATCAATTTTCTTTCTTTTCAACATTCGAGCGTTCACTGAAATTTTTACAGGTCAACGTGTTCGATTTGGGGCGAACATTGAATTTCTTGACACGTTCTCTGAAAATCAATCTTCCAACTACTGATCCCTGCATGTATATATTACGTTTTGCTGTCTCACTCGATTTTGGTGCTAAACAAAAAGAGGTAAGTAAGCTGTGCTTTTGCTAAACTTTTACTTTTTAAGGTTTATTGAATATCTTCATGCAATTTTAGTTATACAGAATGCTACCATTCATCCATTTTACGTAGAGAATACTGATCCTTACTGCAGAGGATCAGTATTCTCTACGTATAAAGTTAGCTAAAATAGAAGTATCGAAAACTTAATTCAAAGTAGACATTTGTATTGTTAAACGTATAATTTTATGTAGTTGTTGGTTGTTTTAACCAAAGTTTTGAATCTTTGCTCAGAAATTACAGTATCGTGCAGGCTTTTTAGCAGTAATTTTCAAACTTCCAAATTTTATTATGATTATTTGTTGTCACTTATTATGATATTAATTCTTATTATAATTGTTTCTGCAGGTAGTATCTTTAGCAACCAGACTAGTGCAACGAATGAAACGTGATTGGATAGCAACAGGAAGACGACCAACTGGTCTTTGTGGTGCAGCATTATTGCTTGCAGCCCGATGCTACAATTTTAATCGAACTGTTGCCGACGTTGTACGTGTTGTACACATTAGCGAAGCTGTTGTTAAGAAACGTCTCGATGAATTCGGACAGACTCCTTCGAGTACGTTAACAATCGATGAGTTTACATCAGTAGATTTGGTAAGTCTCAAACTTTTACTTTGAAAACGTTTAATATATCTTATCTCCAGGATTATGGTTTTCAAGCAACCTGATAAATGTGATTAAGCTCTTACTTATTTATAGTCGCATGAAATTTTTAAAAGCTCTAACGTTAAAGAAAATTTAGGAACACTGTGAGGATCCACCAGCATTTCGCGAATCGCGTCGCAAAGCACGTGAGTTACAATTACAAAAAGAAGAGGAAGCATTGAGGAAGATAGAGCTTGAGGTTTGTGGATAGATGTGGAAAATCTACAAAAACAAATGGATTATTTGATTTTTATTGTTAATTATTATTTTGATAGTTGTACTGTGAATAACAATTATTAGAAAATTGGCTAACTTGATTTGCTGTACATTGTTGAGAAGATCTTTCTATGCTTAAATTTAGGTATGGTACTAAAAAAAAAAGGAACTACACTTAGAATCAATCAGTTAGATATGTACATATATCCAATTATTTTTATTTTTTTTTTTCAATTATAATGCAATTATTTTATTTTCAAAATGCAAAATAAAGTTTTGCAGATATCACCAATGGAGGCAGAAGTTGAAAGAGCTCTTGAGAAACGGCGAAAAGAACGTTTCAAAAGGACACAATATGCTCGAATGATGAGTGGTTCATTAGGATCTGAATCGGATGAACTTACTCCGGCAGATGCTTTAGTACGGAATGAAATCGTTGACTTAGTCTTTTCTGCTGCAAGAAGTGGTACTCCGTTGTAAGTGAAATTAATATTTTCTTACATTTTCTAGTTTTTTCTTTTTTTTTTTTTTTTTTTTTTTTTTTTTTCTACTGAATTGATGTATTCCTCATCCACCGGCACATATTGTTACAGATCTGATGCTGGTATGTCATCCACTTATGCACCTTCATTAGTTAGCCTTGGCATAGCTCCAGTCAAAAGTGAAGTAGAACCGATTGCTGAAACAAAGAGTGAGAAACTCAATAGTAATGGAGAACTTGATTTGGAGGGTAAAAATGTTTTTTTTTGGTGATCCGTACAGTAAACTTTTATAACTGTGATAAATATTAACAGTACAACAGTACAGTTAGCATCATTTAGGTAAGAAATGATTTTAATGTTATAAACTTGGAATTTCTACGTAGTGTTCCATGTGATATTGTATAGATTCTGCAGTTGCATATAAAATTTCTTTTTGCTGAATGATCGAGTAGTTCTGAAAAACAAGAATGTGGATAGTGTCAATTTTTATTCATATTTCAAATTTTCTAGATTTATGTGGAGTTATAATATTGTTGCAGGAATTGATGATGATGAAATCAATACATACATATTAACCAAAGAAGAGGTAGATTTGAAAACCCGTTTCTGGATGAAATTAAATGGAGAACATTTGAAAGAAATGGAACGGCGGTAAAACTTAATGTATTTGTAGTTGTTCTGCTTGGCTCACAGCTAGTGAGCTGACGCAATCTTTATAGAAAAACAGGATAAAGGGAAATTGTTAAAAAAAAAAAAAAAAAGAAAAACATGGACTATTCTAAACTGTAATCCTATATGCTCGAAACTTTTTTAGCGTATCTTTTTGCTCTTTTTTTTTTTTTTTTTGTAACATAATAATCTTGCCTAAAACATGTAAGCACTTTCTAGGCGTCGTGAAAGGGAGGAAGAAGAACGTGAAAAAGATAATTCATCCAAAAAACGGCGTCGAACAAATGGTATCCGTAAAAAAGAACCTATTGTTGCTGCAACTGCGCAAGAAGCAATGGAAAAAGTCATACATGTAATATTCCTGTATATAACTGTTTTTGTTGTGTTATATATCTCAAGAAAGCGGAAATTTTAAAGACTACAGCAGAAAAGTGCTAATATCAGGAAAGAGGAATATCAGGAACAAGGTCATTTGAAATAGTTCATTTTAAAATGATCTGATTATTTTCAATGAATTTCCTGCCTCTAATAATTTTTGGGAATTTTGCAGGAAAAAAAACTTTCAAACAAAATAAACTACGATATTCTAAAAGAAATCGAGGATGCAGATGAAACTATCGTCAAACCTGAAATAGATAGCAGCATAAGTGATACAAAAGAAGAAACCAGTGAAGCTAACGATCGCATGGTTATTTATTTTTTATTTTATTTCAAGTCTTCTTTTCATAATGTATCTTCTGATCTCAGAGAAGAACAGATCAAGTTATGCAATTGATTTTGCCATAAGTTAATGAATTGGTCTAAAGTATCGATTAGATGATAGTTGCATTTCTGACCATCATCACCACTGCTGATGGAGTTCTTAGAGAAAAAAGTCTCTACACTTTGCTGTCCTGCTTCTGTAATTTTTTAATCAGTCCAATAACTATCATAGGCAGAAAATCAATTAATAGGTTGGAAGTGGTCTTACAATTTAAATTTAAATCAGTGACAAAAATACGACAGTGTTTTCATCCTAGGATTTATTTCATATTAATCTTAAAGTTTTATAGTGAGATAAATTTTGAACTCTGTTTCAGTTGTTTAAAGACAGTAGAAATTTAACGTTAACGACAGGAAAAGCTTTAAAAACTCGGAAACGTTTCCGGCCGAACGTTAGCCTAGCAACGAAAAAGGCAGTTGAACAAACAATTTCAGTAATAGCTGCATCAGAAAAAAATTCCAATCAAGGTAAAAAAGGTAAAATATGTTTTTAGTTCTTATCTTTTTTCCAGTCAAAAATTTTTTTTTTGGAAGGAACTTCCAAAGAATAAAGGCATTTTTTTGTTATTTATTTGAACTATTTGGGTAAACTGGGAACTAGTTTTGGCAAGAAGGAAAGTATTTGTTTTCAAATGTTGGAGTGTATTCGAGAATTGATGGAGTGATTCTCTTAGGATGATTGTGAGTTACAACTGGGTACAAACTGACATCATTTTCTAGGATCTGTAAAAGACTTATCTACGACGAATGAAAAAAATACCTTGTTTGTTGGCCGAATGAAGACGAATATAAGGTAAAACTTACTTGTTTCAAGCAAAACACTTGAAAACTGATCCACTCTTCTTTTTGACTAGTGATGTTTATGCTGTTTGATGTTGGAATTTTTTATTTACAGAAAATGTGCTGACGCTCAGGGTCAACCATCAAGCAGTATCGAAAGTAATACTATGATAACAGAATCTAACATATTCCCTACTAAAATGAGCCATTCTAGTCTATCTGTTTCACACTCTGAAACAGATAGGCTAGATTCTTTCCAAACTGGGACCTCCGATTCAACTGCAAAGTTTTCGAGTAAAGTCGGTCACTTTACAGGAAAAATAAGACCAGCTAAATTGATTGTTGAAGAAAGTTCTGAATCAGTTGGTTTTAACTCTAAAAATGCAACTATAACAGAGACATCTGGAAAATCGCACATGATTAAAAGAAGATACGCGAAAATGAAGCCAAATTTGAAGTGTGTCCAAAAATGTGGTAAGTCTGTCAACCAAGATGGTCAGAAGTCGCTTTTAGCGGTTGTACCCGAGGTTCCAGGGGAAGGTAATGTCGAAGATGAAGATAGACAACAAAGGAAAGAAGATACAGAAGTTCCTTCAACATCTGAGATTTCAAGAATGGAAATCGTAAGCGCTGAAGACGTTAGCAAAGAACCACTAATGCAAAGTATTAGTAAGATCTGTTCCGCAAAAACGAATTCGAATGTGACCGAAACTGATACGGTTAAAAAAACAAGAAGTCGATATATGAAAGTAAAACCCAATTTGACAAGACGAGCTGAAACAAAAGCAAGCAAGGTTAGAATTTGATTTACGGACCGAAACTAATTGGAAATAGCGCTATAGAAATAATACCTGTTGTTGATTCAAGTGATAGAGTCATCATCGTTTCTTTCCAGTTGTATTATAAGATATTACATAGTTGCCTATGCTTCTTTCTTCGTTTAAAAATTTTTCTTATTGCAGAAATCCTGACGAGTCGTTGGTTTGTTGCTTTTGAAGAATTGAATAACGGAGGAATATTCATCTGCGACATTATATGTCTTAGGTATGTCTGCTCAATGTAAATATATGTCTTCTTGTTGTAAAGTTTTCATATCGCATTACTATTATGAACTTAAGTTTATGTGAGTCCTACATGAACGAAACCATATGCATAATAAGTATAATGTTTATAGTCGCTTTTTCTTCACAGTAAACTATGAGGCAGCTAGAAAATGAAGGCTCTAAATAGGATGTGGGATTTCTGATTGAACTCGACATAAAAATTATGAATGAGACGGTTGCAGAATATTCAGAACTTTATCTGTTTATTTATTCTATGAGAAAATAACCCGAAGATTGGGATGATTAGAGTTAAAAGGCAGCACAAAAAAGGAGCTATGTATTACTGTTGTGACTGCTGCGAGCAATTTTTTTTTTCTGTCTAGTTCGGTCAAATTCTAATCTCGCATTGTACTGATTTTGTTATTTCTTTATGTTGACCAGATTTCCCTTAATATTTAATATTTTTTTTATAAATATTAAATATTAAGTTAACATTTTCTTTAATATATCTCGTCATTTTCCTTTTCATGATTTGTCAAGTCACTGTCGTAAGTGATATTTAGAATCTCGTTACAAAGAAGGAAATTATTTAAAAAGAATTTTTTTTTTTCAAGTTTTCTGAATGCCTTGGAGTGATTGATCATTATCAGATAATGTGAATGTTGCTTTTAAATTTGTCTCATATTTTTATATTCTAGTCATATTGTTTAAGAGGTCCCTTTTTAATAAGTTGGAAAATGTTTTTTTTTTTTGATAAATTTTTGATAAATGATATTTATGATTTTCTTCTGACATTTGAAACAAGTAATAGAGGATTGAGGAATTAAAGATTTTACTTCTTTCTGTAATTGAAATATATTGACACATATCTATGTTGATATGGGAATGAAAGACTAATAATTAACCAGAGATAGCGTGTCGTATTGGTCAGGAAGCAAGAATTGACGTAAGAAGCGTCACAACGAACCAAACATTTGGGAATCTAATTCCACATCATATGATTCGAAGAAACACAAGATGCGTCGATTAATTTCCTGTCAGATGGGTTTGTCATAAAGAAAATCTATGTTAAATTACCCATAACAAACTTTGTTATGTATTCCAGTTATTATGATGCTTTCCCCTGGAGCCATTAAATCAAAATTTCTTTTGCTTTTGAGAACCTAAAATTGCATTTAAAAAGTCAAGAATTTCTTGCGTTTTTGTTAGTAATGTTATCACGTCGGAATTGTCCCGAAGATGGTGCTGGACGTTTTATTGGTCGATGGATACCAGTTGCTGAATGAGATCGTTGTACATTAACTGAAGTAAAACGAAAATAGTATGAAAAATTGATGAATTAGAGATGATAATTTCATACAGTGAGAATTTCTATAGCTTCCTTTGATCTTTAATCCCATCAAATGATGCATAAATATATAGAAAAGTATGTGCATCCGTAGAAATTTTGACCAATTGTTCATTGTATGCTAGAAAAACTAAGAGAATGTAGACGAGGAAAATAAATTCTGGAAGTTCTGGATGTCTTGATTGGAAAATTGAACAGATTACCTCCTTGACCATTGCCTGTTGTTTCATCGTCTGGTGAACCTTTACGATTCGATGGAAATTTCGCGGCATACTCGGCATTATATTCACTCATATTTGGGACCTCCGAATAAACCATAAAAAACTCACCCGTTTTTAATAATTCACCCATTTTACCGTATGATAAACTCAATGATCCCTTGAAAATTGTCGTAAAACCATTCCTAAGAAATTTCAGTAGTATATTTCAATTATTTTATTTTTAAATTTTTTTTAAAGTTTAAATTTTTTTTTTCTCAAATCGAATCATATGTAATCAAACTTAGCGAACCAGGTCAAATATTTTAAAGTAATGAACTCCTATTTTTTTTTTTTTAACTTGTTAAATATTACAGGCAAAATATATTCATAACATATTCACTGAAAAAGATAATGAAAGATCTAGCCTTAATCGCCAAATATCACCAGCGGAAATATTATCACCAACATCATTCCATACACCCATGAGAACGGAGCCAGTCGGATCAGCAACGCGTATTGTTCGAACATCATGTCCTTGAGGTGTACGTCGTGATTGGCCTGAAAATGTAAGGTAAATCGAAATTTATAACAAAGCACTTTCTCATATTTAAAATGTTTAAATTTCTCTTTAAATTCATTCTTCTTCGATCATTATCATATATAAGTTATGCTCATTCTACCAGTTTTTGATATAATTTCAAATATAGCAAATGAAATAAATGGAATGAAAAACATTACGCAATGAAATAAAATAAATTTTGAGCAGAAAGGAAATATTTCACAAATGATTTGAAATTAAATGAAATGAGATAAAATACAACGAATTATGCATCAATTCAATTTGACAAATTAAATGATGCAAATTATAATTCCAGATTTAAAATGTACAATTAAATAACTTACCAATATCAAGAACAATAAATGTTAGGTTGATATTTTTCATATTTGGCATTAGCTGTGAGATCGAATTTGGTCGAATGATGTCACCTGACATAACTAAAATTTGAAAAATTGATTAAAACAATTGAAAAAAATTCCATATAAAACACAAAACTGTGCAAAAATTGTGAAAATATATGTCATTTATCACGCTAACTTAGTAATTTAAGTGAAAAATATGCTATGAAAATATTTGAAAATGGAAGGTTAGGAAAGATCCATAAACATACTTTCTGTTCAGTAGCAGGTAATTAATGATTTAAAAAAATAAAAAGAGGAAAGAAAAGGATAAATTGGGGGAAAGTTACAATTTGCAATAATTGGAAGGGAAATTGGATGGAAATGGAAGATGTCGAAGGAAGAGAGGGAGAGAGAGAGAGATAAAAAGAGAAATTGATTGCAGTGAAGTGGTATTTAAGAGAGAATAGGGAGAAATGATTGGAGAGAAAAGAAGAATTAATTACATGGAAAGATGGGTATAATTACATGGAAAGAGCAAATATCCATAGATAAAAATATTTAATGATAGAAAGACAGACATGCATAGAATGGACAAAGAATTCAGTTCAGATTTGGAATGTCAAACATTTCAGATTTTAGTAGTAATGCATATTTGTAGTGTAAAGAAGATGTAAGTACGTCAAGTTACGTGAAACAAAGTAACAATTTTTATATTACATTATATGTCACTTGTTATTGATATTATGGAAGTAATTAAGTAAGTAACAATTAATATAGCTCGAAGCAAAATTAAATTATATTTAGCTAAAATATACAAAAATTAACTGTGAACATATTTATTAGTTTAATATAAAATATTTCATAGAAATTTAATGTAATTATCACATCTTATCATATGTAACTAATAATAGCATATGAATCATTTAGGACTTTTTTTAAAATAAAAAAATTAAGAATTAAGAAAATAAGTTAAGAAAAAATAAATTAAGAAAATAAAAATTGGAAAAAAATTAACTAGGTAAAAAAAAAAAAAAGAAAAAAAAAAACATACAAGTTAGAATTTTGCATAAAATTATTAATTAGTTGAATTTGTTAATATTTTAATTTCCAACTTAATAGCCAAATTTTTATTATAACTTATAAAAATATGCATTTTATTTAGAAAAAAAAGTTTTCTTTTTTGTAAAACTTTTAGATATACATTCAGTATTTATTATCAGTTATATATATATTTTCAATAAAGGTTTGTTTCGTTGGAGTACAACTGAAAATTTTCATTAATTTCAGTTTATTCAGTTATCAAAACATTATGATTTGACTTTGCATATGAGTATTTGTGAAGGATTATAGTCACACTTGTTGCAGACATAATTGATGACTGTAGAATCTTGTCATGTCTCGACAAAAGATACGCCAACAAGATGAATCCTGTCGCCAAAAGATGCAGCAAGAAGAATCTCCTCACCAAAAAATGTTACTGAATAGTGACATTCACGAGACTCGATTCCTAATACTGTTGTCACTTGTCTTGTCTGTCAACATATGTCATTTAGGTATTCTTGAAGATTATAGTAGCTCTTTATGTTTTTTCAACTTTTTGTGGCTAAAAGATTATTTCAAAAAATTTTTATAAAATTCTTATATAGCAAAATTGAAAAAAATCATATGATATGATGCGATAAATTTTGTAAATTTGTGGATTAAAGATTGCTTTTTTTAAATATTCCATTGACAATTATATATGATCATTTATCCAGCATTTATCTTCCATTACAAGTTAAGCTTATACGAATTATAAAGAAATGTATAAGCCTAGAATGTTACAATCTGCTAATAAAAAATGCTTAATATATTATAAATCGTACTTAATTTTAATTTTGAAAATTTTTAATCTCATAGCCAAATTTACATTCAATTATTAAAATATTATCAACTGTTTGTTTAACGATTTTTTTTTTTTTGTTATAATCTAAATCTAATCTACACATTATTAATTTGTAGTCAGTTAACAATTTTCCTATGATCAATGTCAACTAATTTTCCCTCGGATTAACTACTTGTAATATTATAACATATTTAATAATCCTTATAGCGTCAATCAACAAACCTTTGTTTTAATTATTTGTTTACATCAATCGATCAACAATACAAACTTGATCGTCAATCAAACAAACAAAAGCTAAAATTTTCTGCCACATATCTCTTCCTTGGTAACTTTTATTGCGGTAGATGGTGATGAGTTCATCATACTAGCAAAATTTAAGTGTAATCTCTCATCCTGAAGATGTGACCTGTCTAAGTAGCTATGTCCTAGATAGCTTGACCTTAATACTGGCAATTTGTGTTTGTTCGAGAGTGATAATATTGGTCATTTGATCAATGCTCCAATGTGAATTTATTAAACTTTCTTTTTTGCATAGATTATCAAATATCGTCGACATGAATGTAAGCAGATCAAGTACAATGCAGATAAAATAATT